GCTAATAAAACTTAGCTTGATGCTAATAAAACTTAGCTTGATGCTAAGATGCTAGAGATGTAGCTCCACATCTCTCCCTGTGTGGTTTATTTTTCCGAACAAAGCTGATTTTATCAAGGATTCCTTGCTCACGCACTGAAACTAACATCTTATACAAACTCAGCTCATATAAACTTCAGACATGCCGTTTCTGTTCAGATTTAACTTTATCAGAGTTTTAAATTTACCTTTGTGTAGAAGAAGCTGCTCCTTGATCCAGTTCTCTGTGGAGGTGGGGAAGGTGCGTTCATGGGCCCAACACGGGTGGGAATTTACAGTGACTTCTACATAACTTCTACATAAACAGTATTTTGAAATTAATAAACCACTCGGTTACATATATATTACTGTAAAAAAAATCACAACTTTATAATGAAATTGTGTGTAATAGAATCATATAGAAATTAATCATTACTAAAATAAAAAATCTATTCCACTCAGGTGGCCCCCTAGCTGTCACGGGGCCCTAAGCAGCTGCTTATGCTGCTTATCCAAAGGGCTGGCCCTGTATGTATATATGTTATGAGACTACTGAAAAGTGGTAGAAGTTGCAGAAGAAGCTACGATGGAACAGACTATCCATCAGCAAAGAAACACCAGTTTACAAAGCAGGAGATGTTCCATCTCCAACCCTAACCAAACTTCTCTGCATGCTCGACATGTTCCACCAGCGTTCTCCATACCTCATTCTGAACATCAAGCGGTGGCAGCAACACCAACACTGACCAATACAAAGACCAATACTGAGGTTCTGCGAGCCGAACGTTCAACCACTGAAACCACGGTGACACCAAGCCATGTGTCGGCTGGGTTACGCCTGGTGAACGGACGATGACCAAATACCAACGCAGCTCCTCTTCAGTGAGCTGAGGCTGACCATGGAAGAGAAGAACAGACCTCATGGAGGAGGATTTGAAGGTCTGTGGTTTTGACTAGAACTGGTAAGAACTCTGCAGACCGAGAGAACACGGGTTTACAAAGTGTGGCAAGGCCAGGTTCTGTCCGAGGCCCAACTAACCCAAAGATGTGACGGTAACTCCTGAGGCTCCAGGTTTCCTACCTGGCAACAACATCTTCATCGTCAATAAAGGTGCAGAAATAACTCAACTACACGAAGAATAAAAACCAGAACAAGTCTGATTTTAGCTTCAGCTTTTTCCCTCAACATTTTGAATTTAATCTTGAAACTCGAACAACACATTAAATAATTTCCTCAACTTGTTTGTTTTCTCCTGAGTGACTCCAGTATCCCGTACAAACATCACTCTTGTTTTTGGTTCTCAACTTATATTGCACATTTTACTTACAGCAGTTTAAAAATTTTAACTCGTACACCGTTAACTTCTGAGCGTCGGGGATCGAACCCAAACCCTCTGATCAAGAACATAAATCAATAAAACTGGAGTCCAGCAGTGGTGGGCACAGTTCCACTAATCCGCTAACGGCGGAACTAAATTTCATTTCAGCGGATTAGCATTTTTGATAATTTTGGAAACCGTTATCAGAATTAGCTTCTGATAAATTAAGTTTAGCCAACTTTGAGTCTGCTAACAAAACTGACAAACTTGTTGCTGTCTGTTGTGGCGTGTCTCGGCTGATTACGTGCACACACGACGGTCAACGCAGCTTCAGCTGGAAGTAGACGAAGACGTGTGACGCAGACCAACAGTCGTCTTAGCGGTTAGCGGTTCCGCTAATTTTAAAAACTGTTTAGGGGGGCAGCGTCAGCTAAACTAACTTTTTGGTTAGCTGTGACCACCACTAGAGTCCATACAGTCCAACTGTCGTATATAAACAGATCGTACCTTTTAACTTGTTTCATCTGAGGTCGTTCATAAATCTATCAACAACCAGGTGGTGCCCTCAAAAATTAAAAAGCAAACCAACAGGATTCCAGTTCTGTGGTTGAAGATGTTTTGCTTCTCAGCCCGGAAACGTTTTCTATTCAAAACTTTGGTAACTGGGGAGTTTGAAGCAGCTGAAGTTCAGTTTTATCATATTCTCCATGACTGGAAGCCTTCATCAACAAACAAGTAATATATTAACTAGAACATTTTACAGAACCACACTTAATAAAAATCCAAACTATTTCTTTAAGACACTCTAATTCTTCCGCTGCGATGCATCACTTTAATCCTTTATATTTAGCTGCAAACCGGTTGGTAAAGTCTATATTTATAATTAATTTAGTAAGGGGTTAGTAAACGTGGAGGTCAAAGAGATGCTGAATAAATGTTTTATGACTTCTCTGGCTCGGTGCAGCCGTTACCGTGGCAACAGGAGATGAAACTCGCGTCACTGCTTTTTTAAAATTCAGTTTTTAGTTTGTTCCATTAAAGATTTTCAGGATCGCAGATGGAAACAAAGTAAACCTCAGCTGAAGCAAAGTTTGTGACCATCAGGAGGAAACGTGTTCCTGAAGCGGGTCCGATAATCAAACTGAATTATCGACGAGCAGAACGGAGAGCGTGGACCGAATGATAAATACTGAAAAAAGCTCTTAATTTGAAACGCCGTACAAAAAAATCAGTTTAATGTTTTGCAGATCTTTAACAGCACCACATCGTCCAAAGATGTACACAGATATTTAAGAAAATAAATTACCAGATACTTTAACGTTTGTAAAATAAACTAAAAATTAACGTTTTTTTAATAAAAAAAACATACACAACGAAAATTATACACCAAGTTTTAGCAGATATACAAACCCTTCAATCAGCAGCAGCTCCGGACTGTTCCAGAACTGCTTTTGTCAAAAACAAGAAAACCGGAAGAAGAACCGGAACGGAAGAATTTGTACAACAAAACAGTTTATAAAAGTTTACAGCTCAAGGCATAAAAACAACATTTATCTTTTTTACTTTGTGATTCTGTCGTTTGAGAAAAAATTTAAGTTTTACAGAAACGCGTCGGAGAAATAGAGTTTGAGGATTTATCAATAATTGTGTCTATTATATTATTAATATATATAATATATTACTCATATATATATATATATATTATATTATATTATTAAGATATTATATTATTAATATATATATTACATTGTCCCAGTCCAGTTCTTCTAAAAATTCAACTTTAAAACTTTGAATCTATTGTTTGTTTGTTTATTGTTTGTTTTTATTAAACACGAGTTGTTTCATCGGTTTTAAGAAAATCTAAAAATTCTGAGAATAAATTTAAAATATTTAAATAAAATTGTTTAAGAGCAGACATTTCTGTATAAAATTAGATAGATTTTTAAAAACATTTTTAATGAATGGTGTAAATCAAAAAGGTAAATAATTTGTGGTTTGATGAGAAACTTTTAAAACTAAATCATGTTTTCGATCAATGAAAAACTATTTTATTGATTAAAGTTCAAATGCTTTGAACGTCGTAATTTGACCGTTATTATAACGATGACACAAAAAACTCAATTTTAAAGTGTTAAATTATTGAAGAAAGAAAAAATATAATTATAACTTTGTAAGAGAAGATTTTAGGAAAATAAAGAGCTGCAGTTTTTAGAATATAAAAACTACATAGATTTATTTTTTAAATTACAACTAAACATTTTTTTTAAAAGCTGAACATTGTTTGCTTTTATTAAAACTTTACCCACAAATAAAACACGTCTTTGTAAAATTAGTACTTTTTAAAGAACCGTTTTGAATTCATTCTCAGAGTTTAGTTTGTCGTTCTGTAATGTTTTGTGCCGCTGGCCAACCGTTGTTTTTAAATGTTAAACGATGAACTTTAATTTAACTTCCTTCATTTGCTGCTTGTGTCCTTAGAACTCTGTCGACTCCGGTTTTTCTGACGAAAACAAAACAAATAAATAAAAAATAGCACGTGGAACAGTTTGATTTTGGATTGTAAGTCCTGCATGTTGCTGCGTCACTTCCTGTGAAGCAGGTGGAGGTGCTCTCCAGCCGCATCACTTCCTGTGAGGCAGGTGGAGGTGCGCTCCAGCCGCGTCACTTCTTGTGAAGCAGGTGGAGGTGCTCTCCAGCCGCGTCACTTCCTGTGAGGCAGGTGGAGGTGCGCTCCAGC